ATGGCCAGGAGATGAGGGGTGTCCGGAAGGGCTCTCTCCTGCTCCGGGTCGTCTCCTTTTGGGTCACCCCTCTCTCGGACACTCGGGCTCCTCTCTCCATTCTGGGATTGGGGTTTCAGGATCACTGGCTCTGGGATCGTTGGCTGGGAATGGGCTGAGCCTTGGGTATTGGGTGGTGAGCAGTGTCACCGTGTATCACTCATTTGTATAGCTGTATATATTACTATTATTATCATAATTATTATTCTCAGTATTATTGTAGTTCAGTTATTAAATTGTTCTTATCTCAACCGATGAGTCTCTTTTCCCTTCACCCCTTTAATTCTCTCCCCATCCCCAGGAGAAGGGAGGGTGAGCTAACGGCCGTTGGGGTGTTTTCCTGCCAGCCAGGAGCAAAACCATGACATGTGGCGCATGCAAACCGCACACTGTCCTTGTAACGCACGACTGTGCCCTGTTCTGGACCATGACTTCTGGGCTGCTACTGTTTCTGCAAGCCTGAGTTCGCATCCTTGAGCAAAACAGGGTACAATGGCGTGGCAGCAATGACACAGATGCAGGATCACTGCGGCCTCAGGGAGAGCTGCTGCTTTGCGGCAGTGACGTGAGACCTCGTCCCGATGAGCAGCACGGGACTGATCTCAGCTATGTCAGGGTCAGGGCTGCCCCACGCCTCACCCCCACCGAGCTCTTACGCCACGTCAACTGTCTTCTTGTGAAAACACAATTTTTTTTCCACCGTCAAAGCAGGGACTATGGCAGCGTCAGGATCCAGCGTAGATGTTGGCAGCTCGCTCTGAAAAATTGCCCAACGATCAATTCTCAGTTCTGTGTGGAGCTGAAAATCATAAAGTATGAGAAAAGATGACCACCTGTGTTTCCCATAATTGGGACAATCCGGTAATACCTGGAAGAGCTCCCGGTGGTTCTGCGTAAGTATTTGCTGCGTGCGAGAATAAAGGCACTTTTAAAAAAGGAGATCACAGGATGAGACGGGAGCTGGAAGGGGAACAGAGAGCTGCCACCGAGGGTGGTCTGACTGCAGGAGAGCTCTTTAATGGGGCTTGGCTATTTCAGTTCTCTGCTAAAAAACTCATCAGGATCACCTTGGCACACCAGGGCAGCTCCATGTCAGCAGCCAGCGGCTCGGATCTGTTGTCCTGAACAGGATGTCCCCATGGCAGCGCAGGCAGGATTGTACGGTGGAATTGGGGACAACTTTTATTTTGCTACAAACAGCCGGGATGAAAGCTTAGCGACATTCCCAGCTGTAAAACCTCGATCCTGGACCGCTGCTTTGCCAGAAGATGAGTATAAAGAAGAACCTTGATGCACACATCAGCTTTGGCCATGAACCCCCAGCTGGCTTTCCCAAGCAGGGGTGGCACAGACCAAGAGAGACACCCCGAATTTTAGTGGTGTAGTTTCCCAGGGCACACACTGATATGAATCAGATCAAATAGAGCATCTAAAATGGAAACAACCATGTCAACCACAGGAGGGTTTGGGTGGGAAGGGACCTTAAAGCCCATCCAGTCCCACCCCCTGCCATGGGCAGGGACACCTTCCACTAGCCCAGGTTGCCCAAAGCCTCATCCAGCCTGGCCTTGAACCCCTCCAG